TTTTTTTTTTTTTTTTTTTTTTTTTTGTTTTTTTTTTTTTTTTTTTTTTTTTTTTTTTTTTTTTTAGAAATAATATCAATTCGACTGTCATGGATGTTATTTGCCAAATACGTATACCGTGTGTATATCGATTGATGATTAGTTTGTCGAGTGTGATGTTAATATCGATTACTCAGGACAGACGATAGTCGTTGAGATTTCCAGACGCAAAAATGCCAAAGTCCCTCTCGAGGAGAGGTATTTTCGAATTCACGTACGTTCGGGTCGGAGATTTGCATAAAATTGTTTGTACTAGAGGCTCTAAGTTAATTATGACGCAACGTGCGAAAATTATGCCTCTTCGAACGGTGCTTGATGTTCAATATCCGTCGTGAAGTTGTTAACCGGTCTTCTAAATTATCTATTAATTATCAAATTTCTTCCCTAGTAGAAAAGAACTTATAAGTGGACAAAATGTCAAGGGAAATATCAGTTAATAAACCTCTTAAATTACTGACTGGTCCTTTTACATAAATGAATTGATATATTTCCAAAGAGGAAACGAGAGAAAACTGAATCGAGTGACACGATGAAAAAAAAGAACAAAAATAAAAATTATTAACATAAAAAAGCTGCTTCTTGCTAAACTATATGCGTATTCAACTCTTATCTTGTTAGAGATAGTGATATCAAAGTAAATAAAGTCGATAAAAATCAAGTGTCCCATTCTGTATATAAGCTAAAGTTAATCAGAGAGATTTCCAAATTTTACTTTGGCAGTCCCTTTTCTATTTCTATGATACGAGCAACATAATAGACTCAGCACTAGATTCGATAGTAATAATCATTGATGCAAAGTCATTGTTCTTGTGAACATCGATGTACACAGTGTTAGTAAGGAAAAATCTAGCAATCGTATCGGACTTACTTAACCAAGTATGTAATGCTGTTTGATACAACTCCAGTGTTACCTAATTAAACACGTACGTGTATCGACACATAATCTGCACATACATAGATATATGTATTCGAAATTATCATTCACCCGGGGAAACTGTCATTTTTTTGTTTTCAGTAGTAGCTGAATGGACACGGTGGCTCGGGCAAGGCACAGCGCATGGATAGATAACAATTTCTGACAAATAGGAAACGTGCGGCATGAGTCTGCCGCGTTCTTCCCTGAAGGGATACTTTTTCTACGTATTGTTCTTCTCCGGTTTTCTGTTAGTTGTTCTGAATTTACTGCAGGACGAGATATGGCATCGTATGCGACCTCATTCTGGACAATCTCAATCCGTTCGCGTTCCCGACAACAGCAAGGTAATGAACAATTAGTCACTTTGTAGTTTCTCCCCCCGCTCTTAAACAAGCATCTTGCACATTTCAGAAGAGGAGACAGATTAAACTTAAGCTTGACGAGAGAAATGTTTAAATATTCGCTAAATTTCACTCTTGCCGGTGAATTCTCGCAGCAACATAGTCCGATGGTCGATTGTTCTTTTACCTAGACGATTAAACGAGAAATTAAAGCCTCGTTAAATGTGACGCATTATTTCCGCTTTCATATTATATACAGTGTAATAGAATCAACGTTCATAATTACGTGGGAAATTTTTGATGCAAGCGTGGAAGAAGACGACAAACACTAATCGTAGCGAGCCTTTTACTTCACTTTTGCAAAGAGTATCCGTCCTCAAATTATCGCAAAATTGATAATTATTTACACGTGAAACTGTGAAAAATTCGTATAAAAGATAAACGTAGCGAATAAGATTTATCAATAGTTTTTGGTTTTTATGAAGAATAAAGAAGACGCGGAGGCAAACATTGATACAGGAATTGACACGTTCGATGTGAGAGATGACACGCTATGCTAAAATTATATCTAATTGATCGCTCTTGATAAAATTTTAGCAAAAAGCAGGAAATGAAAAAACTGTTTCCTTTTTCTTGTTAAACTCGATGAGATAGAAATGAAGGAAATAGACACTGAAAGATGTTAATTATAATATTCAATGAGAAAATCTGTGGAGCAAAGTCTTCAATATTAAATTTATAAAACAAAAAAAAAAAAAAAAAAAAAACAGGAAAAAGAGAGATTCCATCGTGTCGAATACGTCCACCTTGAATCTCTCTGATGGAACAAGTCTACGACAGGCACGCACAGAGAAAGAGAAGCCCGCCAGAAATGTCCTTGACCTCGCTTGTAGGAATCGAATTGTAGGAATCACCTATTAATCGTAGTAGTATATTTATTAAAGACTTATTTATTGTAAACAGTTGACACCGTGTACATAGGGATCTACGATCATTTTACTCATCAATCATGTGCGCATCGATCATGTGTTCTTCGTGCATATACGTACGTATTGTGTCTGTTTGTTCGGGCGTGCGAATTCGTCAAAAAAAAAAAAAAAAAATCATCGAGAAATCACCTCCTACTCCTGCTCGTTCCCGAAAAATAGTTCTTCTTTCTTTCTTTCTTTCTTTCTTTCTTTCTTTCTTTCTTTTCTCTTGCGTTTGCATTCGCGGGAAATCGTGGACAACGAATAATGTTCAAAATTTGAGTTCTGACGCTCCGTTCTCAAAAATCGACAGATAAATCTTATATATATATATATATATATATATATATATATATATATATATGTGTCTGACTCCGTGTAAAGTTTTCAATTAACACTGCGGCACAAAACGATTTGTATTCGACTATTATTGAGAAGAGAAGAGAAGAAGGATTTCACGGCGGCCACGATTCGAGTTCGACGAACGACGCCATATTGCGAAGACGAACACGCGAGTGTACTTACGTCGATACTACGTTTAGTTTGTTATATAAAAATTGTAGACTATAGAGGATCAATTGTAATGCATTGTCAGGACGCAATAAACGCAATTTATGTTTCTAAGAAAAAAAAAAAAAAAAAAAAAAAAAAAAANAAAATTTTAAATATTAAATTTAAAAAAAAAAAAAAAAAAAAAAAAAAACTGGTAGATGCGTAAATAAATCTAAAGAGAAAGGCCAGGTAGAATAGAGAAGGAAAGCATTTTGTTAGAAATGTGAAAAACATTTTAAATATCGAATTTCGATCGCAGATCAAGCAAAATTGGCCTGCAAAGTTGAAGAAACCGACAATGCAGGTTTCGCAGACTCGAGAAAAAGTGAAGAGAATGCTTCCATCCGAGGTATAGTTACTAAATTGCATTGTCAATAGATGACTGCAGAGCAGTATGCGCGTGAAACCTATGCCGAGACAACCTTTCTATTTATCGAAATAGTGCATCCTATCTTAATATTAAAGACTTCATAATCTTACTAAAAGTGCAACGTTAAAAATATCAACTAACGCTTTAAAGTAAAAATGATCGTACGTTTCTGCTATTGCTCTATAATTGAGAGATAAATCCCACGTATAAGTTTTGTCAAAATTTCTAAAATATTAAACATTAATATTAATACCAATGTCATTTTTATTTTTTAGCAGTTAAATATTGGTACGAGAGTTGAACGAAAATTAATACTTCCGAGTTTATAATTTGATAAAAAAAGTTGGCTGCAATTTCAGAAACCTAACCCAAACCTAACCCAAACGCAAATAGATGAGATAGAGCAAGTCGCAAGTATTGTTTTTTATTTCGTTATGAAAGGAAGTTATAAAATCGGAAGTTATAAATTCGTGTTGGAAGTTGCCAAGTTACTTTTTATTTAATTCTCGATCTGTCAAAGATTCAATGGTTTCGTCTCTGGTTGTCTCTGTATTTTCTAAAATACTTGCAGCTAATACCAACTAGCTACTTAGTTTCGTGTAGTCCGCTTTGTTTCGTATGCCTATACACGATATACACAAACGTATGTATATTATAACATAATTAAGCAAATAGTAAATTGCGTATATTTGTGATTAGATTAGCTTTTTCTACCGATGATTCAATCCTGATCCAACATGCAGGCGCAACTTTGCTGTGTTTCATAGTTATTATAAAGCAATTGCCAATTTTGCCGTGTTTCATAATTATTATAAATAAAACAGCGTACGTAATTAGACGAAACTTGCTTTTACGCTTATTTGTCAATATAGATAGGTATCTCATAGGCATAATCATAAGTGTATAAACTATTATTTACAAATGTTATAACAGCATAATACATAAAATATCTACTTATGTATTATGCATACTACGCATTTGGAATTTATTTATTGAAAATGTGCGAAGAGTCAATATTTAATTTGATCTGAAGAACGATATTACTGATAAATTGGTTTAAATTGAAACTAATACTGCTTAAATTGATTTCTACGATTACAGTGATTTAACATGTACATATGTTTATGTACAGGGTGGAAAGAAAAATTTTTCCGTGGCCATCATAGATGAATCGCGTCCCAACAGCGACTTTATGGTTCTCGACGCGTGGATGTAATGTTTATATTTCGAATAGCGTCAACAGTTGGTTTTTTTAATTTGATTACTTAGATCCTCACTGATGCTGCAACTACGATAAATCAAATGTTAATGAAACGTAATCTGAAATGAAATGAAGTCGCTGTTAGCACTCACGCAGTGTTAAATGATTAAAAAACTTCTTTGCCATTTTTCAAGAGAACTATCAGGCTGCGACCTATGGTTCCTCGGAAAAGTTTTACCTTCGTGATGAATAGAATACACTACAAAAAAAAAAAAGAAAAAATCTTTGACCTTGAAATTGAAGATCAATTTTGCAGCAGGTTCTTTACCATGTATATCCATCAGATCGAAAGTGTAAAATTCATCTGCAGTGGCCACGGATAAACTTTTTTCCATTCTGTTTATAACTAAAGTTCCAAACTTATTTTTGTTCGTTCATATTTAAGATCGATTCTTTGATATTGTACGTAAACGTGGCAATGTCTTTCGTCGTAACCTTGCTACGATATTACTCGAGATTAATTGCAAGTAAGCCGCTGTTGGCTTACTTATATTTATCAATTTAAGTTGTATACGAACTGGAGACGTATAACCACGCGATTCTTTTGTTAAAAAGGTATCCAACCTAACTGGCACGACGATCCTAACACGCAACAGTCTAGAATCCATGGATCCGTCAAAAAGACCTTGGTATATGAAAGGAGGGACCAGAAGGCCTTATCCTGCCGTAAAATCCCACCGTACCGGACGAAGATTGGCGCGTTTGTGGCCCGACGAAGACTCTTATGACGATCGTGTTACTAATCAAGTAAGCTTTCCGATACACGCACACGTCTACACTTTCATTAGTCTGTAATGCCTTTTTTAATTTAGTTCAGAGTTTACCTTCGTTTAATTGATTATCAGTTTATCAAATCTTGTTACGATCGTAGTCATAATGAAGAGTATGTGTAGATACTATTGGAAATATGTATACTATAAAAGAAACGATAAAAAATAATTTCTCGTATCAGTTAATGTCATAGATAAGTGTGAATCAATTAAATCCCTAAAATCTTGTTGAGGTATCAGACTTATATTATTTGACTTATTACTGGCGCTATCTGTAGGACTTGTACATACGTACTAGATACGAAATTTCAACACCAGTAGTGGCTGTCGAATTAAAATTTTACACTTTTGAAATTTGACTGCCATTGTAAAAAATTTCATACGTCGTATCTTAAATTATCGAGGCGGCGATAAAAGCAATCGCCGTAATTGAGGAATTTTCCTTCGTACAAGAAGTCATATTGTCGTTTGCCTTTTAATACGGATTGCCTAATTTACGACTTTCTTCTCCAGACTAGAGCGTACTAAACGAAAATGGGAACATTGTGTTTCGCCGTCTCTTTCGAATTGCGCATAGCCATGCACACACACATACACACACATACATACATACATACACACACACGTACAATACTTACGTATGTACCTTGCTTTTCACCCTTTCTTCCACGGCACAATGCAGTCTATTATTCGTCTACTATATATAGGGCAGCGCTTTGAAAAAGCACCGTGCACAATTACGAGTTTCGCATAATTATAATTTGTTCTCTTTATTACAATGTTATTTGTTCACTGTTTCTTTAAACATATCTTGTCTAGTATAATGTCTATACTTGTTACAAGTACCTTTCCAAGTATCTTTTCCTCTCGTTTCGATGAACTTTATCTTGTATCGACCTGTGAAGCATCAATTTATCGATTAGGTCGTGTCGTATTTTATACTTAAAAAGGAGAAATTTAAAAAGATCTACAATTGAATTAATCGACTTCTCATCATTATCTGTAACGGACTAACGGAACAAATTATTTTCTCTGTCAATTTTGTAGTTGATGTACGTACCCACTGATTACAACAAAACTGGCGGCGATCGTCCAATGAAAAAGATAATGGTTCCACATGGCATGCCCGAGGCAAAAGTTGGCTCTGACATATTTCTTCAGCATCGATGCCCGGTTAATACCTGCACGATAGTCCGAGATAACGCCGAAGATGCAGATTTAATTCTGTTTAAAGACTACATAACGCACGTGGGAAGGAGATCTCCAAATCAAGTATGTCGTTCAAATTTTTTCCTATCTGGACCCGTGGTTCCCAACGTGGGGTAATCCGAGAATGAGTTATTATCAGTAAATTTTTTGCACTTCACCTTAAGGTGAGCTCAAGTTGTAGTTTGAATTTTGTTAGGTATCTTTATTTTATTTTATAACAGTTCAAATGATTGGAGCTTCCATTAAAGTTGAAAACTTTATTTGCTGTTTGTCACATCACTCCATTTTATTATCTTTTTTAACAATCTCTTAATAATTTCTTCAAGGTACTTCAACTGTTCTTTCGTTCTTTTATTTTATTTTATTTTTTTCATGGAAGTCGTGTTCTTTGAAAGCTTTAGACCAAGCTAGTGGCCTTTCAGGTTTTCTCCGTGTCAAAAATTCACTTTTTGAATAGTAATAGTTATGTGTCACAGAGATAGAGTCATCAGGATTTCAGAGATGCTTAGATGAGGCATGGGCAGAAAAAAAAAAAGGTTGGGAATCACTGATCTAGACCAAACATCAAAGTGATATGTAAAGTGACAGCAATGAACGAGGCAAAATTTAGAAAGATCTTCTAATTATAATTTAGAGTCTGGAGTAATAAATGTTCATGTTACGGAACAGCCAAATTGTAGAAATTTAGAAGCGAAAAGAATCGTGTAGTTGAAGCAAAGTAAGAAGTAACGAAAATGTTTGAGGTAAAGTAACTGAAAATTAAAGTATGGAACAACGACATACAAGTCGAGTCAACCACAATTTGCTCGTAACCGCGAAAAATGTTCAAATCGTATAACGCATCGTCACTTGGACAAATTGGGCTTGCTGCACAAATCACGAAGAGATTCGTGTTTGTGCCCTGCCACAGAATCGAATTATACATGTCGAATGAGACTAATACGATTTTCAGCAGGTGTGGATGCTGTATTTTTTAGAGTGCCCTTATCACACGCAGAGCGTGAAGAACGCTGTCATCAATTGGACGGCAACTTATCGTCGCGACAGCGACATAGTCGCGCCCTATGAAAGATGGCAATATTACGACCCTAGTGTCACACAAATATCGCAGAGTTTCAATTACGCAGCCAACAAGACTAAAAAGGTGATTAATGATTAACATCGTAGTCTCGTTTTAATTACTCTCGAGTTTCTCGAATCTCGAACGACACAGAATCACAACATTTTTTATTTAGTATTGGCATGCTGTCAAGTATAGGATGGGCCGAAAATCGCTTCCTACTGAAACAAATTCGTAATTTTTTTCATTATATATTTTTGAATTTGCAAACGCTCGGGCGGTCAACAGTCAGAAGAAAATAACTTTTAATGAAAATCGCGTGAATCATGTTAATTATGAGCTTGAATTTAATAATAAAGTTAATTTTTTCTTGTATTTTGATAATGTTTGATTGAGGAAAAAGAAAGGGAGTTTTGGCCAACTCTGTAACAAGAACCTTGTAATATTTAATGTTTTTCTTTAACTGGTTTTAACTAATATTTAATTTTTAATTTGATGTTTAATGTTGTTCCAGGTAGCGTGGTTCGTTTCCAATTGCCATCCGCGAAATCAACGTATGCATTACGCCAAAGAGCTTTCAAAATACATTCAAGTGGACATTTACGGGACCTGCGGTTCGTTACGATGCCCGCGTTCGCAATCCCAAGCCTGTTTCGACATGCTCGACGAAGATTACAAGTTCTACCTTGCTTTCGAGAATTCAAATTGTAAGGATTACATTACGGAGAAGTTCTTCGTCAATGGTCTCGGGTATGAGATAACATTTATTAATCTTAATACTTATGCTTGCAGCTGAAATTGCGCGAATGTTGCATCGAAACTGCGATACAATGATTTTTTTTTTCTTTTTTTTTTTTCAATTGCAACGCGCGGTGTCCCGTCTTTTTTAGGCGGTGCGAGAAAGTACACGCGAGTGCCAGTTTCGAGTGCCACTTAAAAATTTTGCTGGGTTGTTGCCATAATTGCCAAAGTGTGCTTCGCGCTCAGTTGTTACCACCCTTATTTAGTGCACTTTCGTGTGTGTAGAGGTCCTCAAGATTCCCTCCTGCCCTACTCTGTTGAAGTGTTGTCTTCACCGAGATTTTGGAACAAGGGTTACCTTGTTGCCAGAACCTGAAGCTGGTTCGCCGCTATCCGATCTTTCGATTTCTCCGAAATTATATACAACTGTAATTTCTTTTTATCTTTTTGTCGTTCGTGTCGTTCTTGTCATCCTCTTAAATAAATAACGGACGTTTAATTAGACAGGTTTAAGTTACCGTTAAGAGATTAACATCCATTCGAAAGTGTCGAACATTATGGAGGGATTATTCTCTTAGTTAAGCAGTTCAGTATCCTTGGCCTGTTTGATCGTCCAGATAAGATAGAAAAGATTCTCTCCAAATCGGTGGGCGATATTCGATTCTCATTGTCACTCGTGGTAAACAAATCCAGTAAAATCGCGCGTGGCATTTTCCACGACTTAACGTTTTTTCCCCATTTATGAATTTGAGTAAATGCAAACTATCTGCGTGGATTATTGCATCTTTTCAAATAACAATTTGCATTTTGCAATCGACGCAGAAAGAGAGAGAGAGAGAGAGAGAGAGAGTTATTAAGACTGTGAGAGGACTCTTAAGAAACGTAGAGTCTAAAGTTTGAACAAAGGTAACCGCTGTTTTCAAAATGTAGTTTCAAATATATTCCTTAAATGTCGGTCGCTAACTGCTCGCCGGATTCTGACGTTGAGCGATACACTTTTTGCTTTTATTGTCAGGACGATACAGTTTTCGTCTCGCGCTGACGGTTGGTGACCTGACAAACACGTTACGTTCCAATTCGACGTGTTTTCGTTTACAAGACAAATTTCTGTTTTCAAAATTCAGGCACAATGTTCTGCCAATTGTGATGGGCGCGCATCCAACGGACTATGCTCGCAGCGCACCTTACCGTTCGTACATCCACGTGGACGAGTTCGAGTCGCCGAAAGAGCTCGCCGAGTATCTTCATCGCCTGGACCGGGACGACGAGTTGTACAATTCGTACTTTCGCTGGAAGGGTACCGGCGAGTTTATCAACACTTACTTCTGGTGCCGTGTTTGCGCGATGCTGCACGACGACCGGCCGCCGAAATTTTACAAGGACGTGAACGAGTGGTGGCGAGGCGACGGGATATGCACGACCGCGTCGTGGCGTGAACACGACTCGGTCCGAGCAGGAAACTCGAAGAATACTTGAAGCTGCTGATGTTAATTCAGACAGCTTACACACGCGGTGTCAGACTAATCGTTTAGATATGCACGAGCTAGGCTGTCAGGAGACACGCGTGCAGGTTTTCATCGAACAATATGCCTCGTTCTGTCGTTTTACGTTGACCTCGGATTTGTCGACAAGGAGTCCGTCTATGGCGTTCCGACAAACGATGTCTGACTAGTCTGTTAATCGACGAAAAGACTGCCGACTACGAATTGGTCTTCGGCGAAACATGAAGATCATCCGGGAGCATCCGGGAATTTGTATTTTTCGACGACAACACAGACTTTTACACGACGATGCGTGTATCGATGATGGATAACTGATGCGCCGTTTTATAGACGAACAGTTTTGACCCGCTCGCGCCTTTCTGCGGGATCCTGGTTTTCTTTCGTTGAAAATGGCAGTATAAATCAACGTTTTGACTCGGGTCAATTACATATTATAAATTACAAATCCTTCTCTTTTTTTGGGGGAGGCGGAGGGGGGAGGCAATATGTCACAATCCATATTAAATGATCTCTTGTACATTAAATCGCTATTAAATTACAATAGTTTACGCACAGAGTAAATAACTTCGGCGTTTCTCTTAGATTGAGGGTTTTTATAATGTTCCTTTCAAATTCGTACAGACGCACGTAAGATTCTTGTTCAAGTCTTTTATGGATTGTTTTGAAATATTAACGTCCGACATATTAGACACTTGTAAAACATTATTTTCATAAAGTAGATATGTATTGCCATCGTTCGTGGTAATTTGGCGAGACAGTGTTTTATACGATTATTAATAAATTACGAATATCGACGTAGCTAGCACGAAATGAAAAAAACGATGAAAATTCGAGAGAAACATACTCGATTTGATCAGTTCGCAAAGAACATAACTGCAAATTATACGTCTCATTGAACATTCGTTGTCATATGTGTTTTAAGATAAAGACAACTTTACTTTGATTGTGTATTCGTGAAATATAGTATTAATAATTTGTACATTTTGGACTCAGATTATAATTTTCTATGAAAATTGAAATGGGAGACAAAACGTAAGACTTGAAGTTGATTTTGTTTTCGTAGAAAGAAGTGCACAAAATTACGTTCGTATTAGTTTCTTGTAAATATACACGAATGAAGTGTAACGAGACGATTATTTTTTTCCTCGAAATTGAAGGCATGTTCAAGCTCAACAGATACGTTAGATTATCGTTACATATATGCTCACGTATGAGAAATGAAAAATGAGAGTTGCATGTGATGATGATAAATTTTCGATGCGGGTTAATATAATTTTAAGTGTTTTTGATAACGACATAATATATCTGGCGCGCGTTGAATATTGATTAGAGTTCAAACAAGTTATTCATGTGGGTTCGAATTGAGATCACACTTTTTTGTTTCAATTAATTTTGTTTCTCTCCATTATGGGATTGCTAGCAATTTGGTAATCTAGCTCGTTTGAAATGTTTCTGTTAGACACATTTTTCTTACTTAGCGATAGACACGTATCACGCATTATACGAACTTGTTACAGCATCAAAGGATTTATTTAAAAAAAACTTTTGTTTGATGTTTTCTTAGAATTTTGAATTTTTACCGCTGATGATTGTTAATTGTTAAGGATATTTTCTAGCACGCGCGATTGCTAAGCGTATTGTTTCTTTTTTTCTCGTAATGCAACTAGATCCAACTCGTTCAAAATAACGAGAACTTTTTTTGTTGCCGCAGATTTCTTCGTAGATAATTTTTAGAGATTAAATTATAATCTGTGTATAGCAAGATACGACACATGGAACGAATTATCTGTAAATTATCTCTAGATTAAGTCTCCCGAGGTGTGATGTTTACAATGGTATTTGTTAATAGGTATCGATAGTTCGTATAAATATTAATGATCACTGATCAATGTACTGTGACTAGAATAATGCTTTGTTAGAATATTCTCAAATTCTCGAAAGCGTAAACTGCAATCATACGACGACGAGACGATCGCAGGATCGCATGGAGAGACAGCTTCTAAAGTTTTGAGATTATTCGTTAAGAGTGGAATTGACAAATGTAGCAAGTACTTATGTACGTGTAAGAAAATGTTTGCACATAGCTTATACATAGTAAATGTTTATGGTATGGAATTTACTAGATTCGAACCTACATGGATAAGTATTGGCGTTTGACAATTATGATTCAATCGATCTAATCAGTCTACAGTCGTGTCATGTTTTGTAAAGACCTCTTGTCCGATTCGCGTGAGACGAAGAAGAAGAAGAAGAAGAAGAAGAAGAAGAAGAAGAAGAAGAAGAGAAAGGAAAAATAGCCGTTGAAATCTTTTTCGTTGACGTTCATCTACTGTAATATAATACTGTTAATCGTGTTCTAAATGCAAATCCTACTAAACATTGGCAACTAATGATTGACACTAGTTGTTCAACCTTTTGCCAGCTGCTATCGTAGGTGACCATCATTTCTACGTAAATGGTCTTTTTTCACAAAGATCTTTTACATCGCGTCAATGTATATTCAATACGTTATACGTTGTACAGTCGTTATTTGTAAAATATCCAATCAAGTGTGTGAAACTTTTACAAGATCTAGTCAAGCGTGTGACCTTGTCGAGGAACTTTTTCGAGTCATTCGTATCGCTACGTACGCAACGTGTACCTGTTCAAATGATTCCTACCTATGACTTACGTTGAATTTAATTAATGTGTCGTTAAGTTAATTTTACGTAGCTAATTTAAATAGTTGTTTCGTCGAGTGAATCGTTGCGTGCTTTATTCGTTGATGATAATACGTAATGCTTTTTCAGCAAATTTTATTTTTATCACGATAATAATGGATATTTATATCGATGTGAGAACTCTTGCGAAGACATTTATGGTTTTTTTCTGAACTTTTACAGGATTCTGTAAATAACGTGTCAATTTATATTTAATATTGTTGGTACAATTTGCATCAAGTTTTGTTTTTATTCTTTTACTGTGTTTTCAAGCTATACCTGCGTATAATGTTTCTTTCAATTACAATTTAAGCATCGGACGTGTTGCTTTCTGTTTTACATTTTGAATTTATAATCGTCTGTAGCAGAACTGCACTTTGGCATTTGTTAACACTTCAAACAATTTTACAGTACTGATTTGCCCATAAACATGATTACAGAGTGGTTTTACATTAATTTCCTATCATGGACATATCAATTGATCAATTAATAATGATTAAATGTTAACTATTAGTTGAAAACAAATTGTAGACAGTTGTGCGATGTAAGCTTTCGTGTATTGTGAACGAGAATGCTTGGTAAACAAACTGCATTGTAAAATCAAACAAAAATCAATAATCGTCGACGTACAATCTTGAAGAGGTACACATACTGTGCAAAGAAGTCATTTCTCGCTTCCATTCTTGTACAAAAAGATTGCACAAATATCGAAAGGATAATGTTTCAATCGAAGATTTCGATTTTATACTGATATACATTCGCACGTAGTGGTAACGTAAATTGTTATACTTTTAGGTTGTTCTCTTTTTGCTCGTTACGTAATAGTGATTAATGTGAAATGTGTCAGCTTATCAAAATTCTGAGGTATTTAAAAGTTTGCAAAGTGTCGAAAAAAACTTTGAAAAATCTTTTCCATTCATTATTGTTGTACGAATTTCTTTAAAATTTGCGTAGTACCATCAAATTATAAATCGAACGACTGTAAATTGTATTATTTCTATTTTTATTCACCTCGAAAGGTACTGTATTATCCGCTTTCGATCGGTGATAGTTAATTTCCCAATTGTACGCAGTTCTCAATATTCGGTAAGGAAGTTGTACAATAGTTAGCACATTGGCAACAAAAATGCGATGAAACATTGTTGAAACTGTAAAAGATAATCGTGTACGTTGGACATATGATTGCGAAGAATGTTAATAGTGAGGACATAAATTCCGTTGCGACTAACAATAAGATTTTCGTTTAACTTTTAACTATTTGTATCGATTGTTCGATAGACGTTAATACCAAATAATTATTGTAAGTTAAGGGTAAACCTACGTTCGAGGTGCAGAAGAATTAGCGAGAGTAATAAAGAACTTGTTCGTAAGACTAGCCATAGCTCAAAACGTAGCTCAAACAGTACAGACTAATCCATATTTTTTTTTCTTTTTTTTTTTTTTTAGTACTTGTTAGCTCGAAGAAGGAAACCAATACGAGAAAATAGCATAGAAATGTTGCACATGTGAAATGCACGCGTAAAATTACACTACAAGCAGATTACTTCATTGTGGATTCTGCCATAGTTTCTAATTGGTTCCTATGTAACGTCGATCTTTTCAGAGTGCGCACAATCAAGTTAGTACGTATAATTAGGTAACCGTTTGATAGCCCGGTCGAAGTATCGATCAGCCAGGTTACAATGATGTGACCGATCGTTTCAAGGATATGTGCCCGCACGCAAATATGACTCCGGAATATGTTCATAAACTTCTTAGTTCGTTTCTTTTTTTTTTTTTTTTTTTTTTTTTTTTAAGGAACTAGCAAATTAAGTAGCACGTTAATCCAAAGAGCAACACAACCGATTGATTGAAACAATGGATGAAAGTAAACGGTATCGTTTGTTGTTTGATGAATGTTTGAAAGTGAGAAATGTGTTTAGAAAACGTGACGCGAACTATTTTCTAGAAAACTTTGATTCAATTCTAAACAATAAAATATCGATAAGTATATTCGCTGTATAGATCATTGCGCTTTATCGTTAACAATATTTTCTATATATTTAAATATATTAGGTATACATGTATCTATATTTCAGTGAAAAATTTAGATTCTAAATTTTTTTGATATTTAAGCACATTTTTGATGTAAAAATATGACCAAGTTGTTTATTTCTTTGCCAACGTTTATATTAGTTACCGTCGTTTGTTTTCGAATTGTTTAAATATATTGCTATTACATGCTGTTCGATATTTTAACTTTATTTAACGTACTATGCTAATTTCATGATACATTGAATTATGACATTAGTCAGTGCGGCATATGGAATTCGATGAAATAACATCAGTACTGATAGTACATGTATATTAAATACACTATGTATTTAGATCCAAAAATGTGAATAACTATCAGAGAATTCTGAGCGTGCTTTAAAAATCGTGATAGGGGCTTGATTAATTAATTAATTAATTAATTATCGGTACTGTTTGTAATAATTGGTGCTGGTGTACCTACGCCACATCTCGCAAGAGAATTTTTTTGTGGTGATAATGGTTAATCAATAATTACTATAGAGAATTAGCGTGTAAGATTTAGCGATTGAAAATAATATACAACATAGAACGTACAATTTTCTTGTTTTTTTGTTTTTGAGCTATTAAAATAGATTGTAAAGCGTATAAAGGCAATACGGAAAAAATATGATAAATCAATGTTTGTTGATTTTTTTTATGTTACTTGATGATTAAAAACAAGTATATATTTTTATATGAAATAATTGTGAAAGGAAATCCGAAGAAAGATATTGAAGATACATATGTGACTAATAAATCTATCGATGTTTTATATATGAAACAAATAATATTAATTTAGTTGTCATGTTACTTTAGTTTACACAATTAACGTCATTAATATTATTTACATATTCAAGAGAATGATAAAACGCATACATATGTATATATTTAATTCCAAAATTAAGTACGAAAGTAGTTTCAACGTGGAATTGATTGACAACATAGTGAATTTTCAAAATTTCCCTCTGTAAGAGATGGGAAATACGACTTATCATGTTTTTACCATGCGGTCTTCGTATAGAAGAGACAAATGCGTGAGCCCTAATATTGTAACTTGTTAGTATAATCAAGGGGAACACCATGAATAGTACAGTTAAATTGTCAATTGTATTGCGTCATTGTTTTTAATCTGTGTTCACTATCTTACATCGTAGTATAATTTCCATGCATTTTGTCAGTTATATGTTCACACATTTTTAATGTAAATATGTTCATCCTATGACAACAGTGTTACTATTCACTATGTTAGACATTAATCTTCAGAACGGTCGCACACTGTGAAACTAGATAGCGTCATAATTTGTAAATAGTAATTTATACCATTATAATAAAATGCGTACGATGCGTTCATAATGACATTTAATGTAATATTTGACATTTGTAGAAACTATCAAGGGTATTCTATGGAAAGCATACTCTTATGCATTTTATCTTGCCGAAAACGGAAACTTAGCGTGCCACGACTAATATATTGTACGATTATAATCGTGAAATTTAGATAAGATAAGGTAATGTTATATTGATGTATTTAATTGTTCATTCTTTTTCTACGATTGTTTCCCAGGTCAAAGTTTATTCCTTCGTCTACTACCGGTAGAAAAATTTAAAAAAAAGTAAAATGAAACGTAGCATTGCTTCGTACAATGAAAGAGTAGAATAATACTTAATAATGCTACATCGTTCTAAATTATATTAGGACCATCTAATTGCATACGTACATTTTGTAAGAAATTTAAGAAATTTGTATTACTTTTGAGACTATCTTTGTTAAAACTATTATCAGCACGCTTTCGATATTTCTCTTAGTTCGATAGTTCGGTAGGTCTCTTCGTTCAATACAAGTGCAAAGTATTTATGTATTACGTATTTATATTTATATTATATACGTTCCTGATTGTGGGAATAAAAATGAACGCTATTCTTACTTTTGAAATAGTCTTGTTTTCTTACCTGGTGATACATTTTTATGGAAACTGTTGTATTTTTACAATTGTCAGCAATAATGATTCGTTTTCAACTTCGATTTGGACAATTATTTTTGGACAAAATTCAATAAATCACTTGCACATTCGATAGACTTAAATTCTACTTGTATTTTCCAATGGAATGATATTGACAATTATTAACGATTTTCGTCTGAAAGAAAATTAAACCATAATTTATTTAAAAAATTTTGAAACATACGGTCCTGAGAATTCTGCATCGAATAGGAAAATTTTCGGTAAACTGCCCGTCCGAGGTATAATTCTCGAAATTATTCTCGAACGAATACACAATTATTTGAAAGAATAAACTTTCTTTTTCAAAGAGGAAAAATTAACGTAACGAACATATATTGTAAATTTCATGTTCTTTATTTAAAGCGTTCCTCGTCGATAAAATTTCAGATTTTCTAAAAAACGCACGGTGCCCTTTTTCCTCTTTGTTTTGTCTCTTTACACTCAATAAACCCTGATGGGCTTCATCCTATGGTTCAATCTGTACGGCTGATCGCCTTTTCAACTACAGCTCACTGAGCATGTGATCCCTTTATCCCTTTGTAATTCCTTTACTTACCCTGCCATCGTTTCCCCCAGTTTTTTCTCACGTGCATAAGGATTCTTCGTAAATGTTATTTTTCATGACGTCCACATTGCAACGGATCTATCATCCATCATATTATAAATCCAATTCTGTCATGTCTAAATATACAATACTTCAATTTTTTGCACTTGCGATTTTACTTTCTTCGGTTTCCTCTAATTATTGTTTTTAAAATAACTTTATCAGTCGTGGCGGCAAAAATAACTTCACGATTTAAAGTTTATCTTCATCTAAACGGAACTTTTCAGATGTTGAGCCCTCAAGTTTTCTTTTTACTGCTTTTTTAAACAGCTCCTATAATATTACCATTGACTAAAGATAGAATAGACATGAAATTATATAAAATAAAATAGAATATAGAACATTTACGTGTTCTGAAATACCGGCCTCCAAAAAAAAAAATCAGTGTTTCTTGCGCCCTCTGCAACTTGCTGCAGTGAACATAAGATTACGTCTGTCAAGACGATAAAGTCGGTAGCATTGTTTTTATTACGAAACGGTCAATTATTGGAACGATGATTTCAAAAAAATCTGCAGTATGATCAAGTCGTTCCGATGAAAAATCACATTTAAATATTGGGAAGCATTCAAATTAAATTGTTTCGTTTGGTAGAGTTTTTCATTTTTCGTTTAAAGTTGGAAAATATATGTATCTATATACGTATCATGGTACGAAATATACGCGCAATGATTTTAGCTTATAGATAAAGATTACAGCGCCAATGAAACGGTGAAATTCGTAATTACATCTCGCGAGATCCAATTGTAATCGATATTATTTACAACCGATCTGTAATATTAGGACGAGACGTGAAAGTGTCAGATTTAGATAGAAAATACGATAAAAAGAAACATCATTCGGAATTTGTCAGGTAAAGACCACAATCAATTTCAGACTTGTTTTTATATTGTTGAATCTGTTTGCAATTAAGAAAAATAAGCGCTACTTGAAAGAGTTATATTATATATCAATGCCGGCATTTGTTGGTTAGAAATGAATATATGTATGTATTTTCACAAGCAATGGCTCAAGGTAGTATACTTTGAACGATTATGATAAAAGTCTTTGCTGTATCATATTATTGTTGTGACGAGATACGATTATTGTCAGTGTGTTGGCTTTTTGAAATCAGTTCTGAAAATATATAATATAAAAGTTATCTATTGCAAACGCGTGTTTAATAAAAGACACGATAAATGTTAAAGGCGGTTTCATTGAATGTTGAAGTTTATTAATTTAATAAACAATAGACTTTTTAAATACTTTTCTTCATCTACGTGAAATATATGTATGTGTATATATATTTGTTTTTAAATACGTAACAGCTTGGTATTATAATCGTGACAGCTGAATCTCATGTATACAGTGTTAGTGCAATTTTAAAATGTTTCGTCCAACACGCAATATATTTATAAAAGATTATTTTTATAAGCGTTTCAATATTTTCGTCAGTAAATACATATACACATGTATATGCAAGCATTGCTTTCTAATGAATTCTATCAAACTAAATAAAATTAATTAATACTATTGGGGACATTCTTGTAGGACATTTGTTTTTTCATAAATCAGTCGAATCCTATTCGCGGATGCTCAAACCACCCACCCCACCCCACCAAATTAGTTAGTGACGCGAACCTGTTGCGCGGGGGGTTAGTCCATTGTCGAAAATCGTAGTGTTAACATGTATTATCTCGTTTGACGTTTATTAACTGTGTGACAGTTTCCCCGTCATTTTTTCATTGTGCTACTGTCAACTCTATTCACGTTTTTTTTAAACAATTTAATTAACTTACTTCTTTCTGACCATTTTACTGGTAACTCATATTACGAACTTTCAAAATGGTACTTAACCTTGACCGTTGTTTCACATTGATATAATATATTACTTTTGTACATTTATATTGAAAGTTTTAATTTTCTTTTGTACAGATTATTAGTTGATTGTGATAAAACTTCAAAGTGTTAGAGGGACGTTATGAAATTCAAAAGTACATGACAGTAATGCAGGTGTTGTGACATTTAATTTATTTATTTTTACTTGATTAATAAAAATAGAAGCTTTTGTACGTTTGTTTCCTCTTTTTATTAGATAATTGTTAATATTTTATTGGATAATTATTAATTTAATCGATGTACATTGTTAACAATCAGAGATAGGTTTGAACACGTTCTGCGCATCGCATTTTTTGCGTACTGCGCAGCTTTGTGTAACGTTGAAAAGAAATGCGCCATATTTGATTGATATAAAGTACATTTGAGATTTGCAGAATATAATATTTTACAAATCAATTGTATGACAGAATACTTATTACTTGTTAAACATTTAACAATATTAGATACTTATAAATATTCGACAATATCTTAGATTAATATTTTAAGTATTTTTAAAAACAAATTATAACATTTCACATTTTTCATATTTTGTTTTAATTATATTATTAATTAAAAAAGAAAGTATATCTTAAATTTTTATATTGAAACTCTAATTTATATATTAATTATAGTTTGTTAGGATTTTAATTCTATTTATCATTAGTCCAAATGTTTATAGAGTTTATAGAGTTTTGTATTTCATTGTCTCAAAATTTTTTAAACAATCGTAACTGTGTTTTTCAGATTGATAATTGTGATAATTTATATTTTACTTATTTTAATTTATTTTAAAGGTTTTTCACTCCTTCTTCTTTTTCCTGTTCCCTCGGGAAAACTTGTAGTGGTGTTCCGAAAACTAAGAATGTAAGTAACTTCATACTTCTTTTAGTTCTGTTCCTTTTATTTTACGTTAATCACAATTAATTAAAAAATGGTATTTGATTGAAAATTTGACAAATTTAAATTTTGTGCTCAGATTCAAACCAACGCTTCTCCCATGATAATGGATTTCACAATGATTTCCCTTGAGTCAGAAAATCAGATCGGTGACAATGTGTTTCGCATCTAATCGTAAGTCGCATGCTTTTTGTCCTTCTGGCAATTCAATCACGTCGTAGGATAAAAGGTCCAAATCGACACGGGTGATTAGTTGCATTATACAGAACTTTGAACGAGCATAGTGATCGCGAGTATTTATTTCATAGTTGTGAATAGTAACATATCCTTTCCAATATTTTATTTATTAAATCAGAATAGGTTTTCTTGCATATCGCGTTTTTGAATATTGATAACAATGTATTAATAATTGCTGTGATATATTATTGTTATAATATAACGCTATAAAGAATCGATATGAACATCACATAATGTTAATAAATTAAAATATGTATCTGTAGTACCTAAAGGGTATATTTGCCCTTATTAATTATTTACAATATTTAAAATAATTACTTGTGCAGATAAAATATTGATACGAGTATTCATTATCTATATAAACGAATAAAATATAAATATTTGAATAAGTAACAAATGTTATAATGATTTTATTTGAGTATGTTGCTCCTTGATTTCGTCGTTATAAACATTGAAATTTCAATTGAAACTATTACAATGCTAATGGTGATGGAATTTCAATTCTATTCACTTTTAGACATGAAATTTGAAGTATGAAAATATCAAAGTACAATTTTATTCATGTACAAGTGTGAAATCTTAGGTGCAAGAAGACACTTTATCGCGACAGGCTATGATTTCAGAATCAAAGTAATGATTTTGAATGTTTTTTTTTATAATATTTTCAAAGATATTTTCACTTTGATGAAGATATCGTCTGAGAAAATTCTTATCATTATTTCAGTTGCATCTGTTATTATTTATAAATTATTTGCTCTAGTGGCTCCCTTTACTCAAATGCAATATTTGAACAATTCATCGAATTATTAAAATAAACTATAAAGTAGAATCATGGGAAAATGAAAAAACACAGTATAAATAACTACTGGCTTATCATTCTCCAGATCCTCTATCTCGAATATCGAAAGTCATTCTTATTACTACTTTATCACTATGCTCGTTTTTTGTAGTAAATATGTAGTATTTTATTTTATTTTTTTGCCAATATAATGTGTCGATTTACCATCATATTTGACAATTCATGCCTTCTTTATTAATGTTTCAAGAGATTAATTACGGTTCGTATTATGATTGTTTCACAATATTATCATTATACATAAATATATATAGATTATATTTGACTCGATAATAGCCTAGATTAATATTTAAGCATGGTATCGCAGTTTAATTAAGACTGATATTTAAGTGCGTGTTTAATTAAGGCTGATATTTGAGTAGATGATTTAAATTAGAGAAGTGTAATTAGCAAGGAGTTATTTCATTTTCCTAACATTTTTCAAGCATCAAGTACTTTACATTTCCATAGGAATGACAATGCACAATACAGATACAAATATGAAATATTAGAATTATATTCGATATAAGGTTTAACGGATCTTCTACTCTCAGGTTTATGTTTTTGGGTTGACTTTTCTTAAAGCTCTCTCTGTTTGTTTGTTTGTTGGTTGGTAATAATACAGAATCGTGGACGTAGGAACTGTATGATGACCAAGTATGATAGCATCTAGCGTCATTATGAATCCCTCTTGAAAGTGTTATACGTTTTTCTAACATTTGGCTGCACGCTCTGTGAATGCTATAGATACCGATCCGATAACCCTCAGCCTCGCGTCGTCAGCCTCGGTTTTCACACGTCAAGCTAGGATACGAGGACTCTGGCTGATTTATGTGACACTGCTATCCCTCTGCAAAAGATTAAAGCGCGGAAACATATGACTCAATGAAAAAAGAAGCAAATAACAAAGTGTGACAGCAATTCATGTCAGTCTGATTCCAGTGGAATAATTAATTGAGGGGGCACTTGCCCGTGTTTGTAAATGTGGCGTAAATGTGGCTACAGACGCGCGGGGTTGTTCGTTATTGTATTGAAAAGAGAAAATGCACGAGGAGAGGGATGAAAAAATACAAAATGACACAATCAACCTTGCTCCAAAGAATTAAGTCTGCGAGTCAAGTTTTTAGCGACGTAGTCTACTTGCTGCGTAATTAAATCGATTTTCAAAAAGATTGTTTGTCATGTTTTCTCGAGTTACTTTCATCTGAGAAGAAAAGTGTGCTTTTAGAAAGGTGCAAACTTACTTTTCGCAGAGAGTGTATTTTATCATTGACGATACAAGTTTTCATAAAACTTCCTCTCGCAGCGGAGCACTTGTTCTCTCCTTCATCGAGAAAGCTATAAAGTATAACGCAAGCCTAACAACTATTTAATATAACTAGATATTTATTCGATATAAATTTTGAAATCACGTCGTGGACCATGAAA